CTGGTGCCCTCTCCTGGCCTGCAGGGATGCACACAGACAGAAAATTGTATACATAATAAATAAATAAAATAAATAAATAAATATTTTTAAAAAAATGTTCTCTGTAGAAAATAGAGAGTGTTCGCACTAAGGCCCGGCTGCTCCCTTCCACTTCATGACATATCAGCATCTCCCTGCAGGTTTCCCTGGTTGTTGCCCACTGAGGACCCCATTGAGGACCTAAGAGTCAATGGACTGCTCTGTTGTCACCTTCCCCTGTCCTCGTGGTTGGTTGTTACAGTCTCCTTGCTATTTAAGAGATGATAAGGCTGAAAAGGTGTTTTCACTGATACCTGCCATGCTTTTGAATCAGCTGCACATTTCATGTCTGCCTGTTATTTGATTTGTATACTGTTATGACGGGTGAGCAGACTTCATCTTCCTATAATGGGGTAAGCAGACCTATCTACTTCCTATGATGGGTGAGCAGACCCATCTACTTCCTATGATGGGGTGAACAGACCCATCTACCTCCTAATTTCTGCCCTTAGCATTGGCCATCTTATTTTACAGGAAATGCTTCCACTCGGTGGTGTGAAGGATCATCTTAGTTATTTCTCAGCTCTGACTGGGGTGAAATCTACAGAGGACATTGTAGCCTTGTTTTATTTTGTCTTCCCTATTGTCACTGAAGAGGCCTCTCTCACAAAATAGCAAGGAGCTACTTTGTACACCTTAGAAAACAGAGAGAGAGAGAGAGAGAGAGAGAGAGAGAGAGAGAGAGAGAGAGAGAGAGAATTAGTTAAACAGTGACTAAGAGGTCTCAATGAAAAGAAGGGAAAAGAGAATGCATATATATGTTCTAGCAAAACTTGCATACTGCCTTGTTTTGAAACCCAGAAACGTCCCACTTAGACAGCAGAGCTTCCGCTCTCCATCTCTGCCGTCCATGCAAGGGGAATGACGACGAAGGTGACTTGAGGGGCCCTTGTAAGATTCTGGGAGAGACATTTGCCAGGCCATCCTGGTTACAAGTGGGTCATGTGGCGTGTTTACTTTTTAAATGCTTAGAGAATCTGCAGGTGGCCATGTGACTGAGATGTTTGTTTTAACAGGCTGAAAAGCGGGAGGTCATGTAGACATGTCCTCTGATGCAATAGGAAAATACCTAATTACTCCATTTGGGGCTCAGCTTTTGGTCTCAGTTAAAACTGCTGAAAGCAAAGATCAGTAATTCCTGACGAGTAGCTCTCCTCATGTTGCCTGTAGCCACATCTTCATTGTATGTGCAACCCATGAGGCTTCAGGCTCAGAACTTAGTAAAAGATTTCTTTGTGAAGCTTCTGTGATATGCAGTTGTAGGATGCATCAAGAAAGACTCCGAGAACCCCAGATCTATTGCAGCATGCTCCCAAAACTGACTAGCAGTATTCTCTGCCTTCCTATAGAATTCGCTGGGAAGTCAAGTTGCGAAAAGCAGACAGCTGGTTGGTGCACCACACTGCTTCATTGTCATGCATCAGGACACAGGCTAGGATTGCTGCTCATCTGTCTTCAGTAGCAGGAAGAAGGAGCAGGGCATCTTGCTGGAAAGCTGTTTGCTTGATTTTCAGTCAAGGGGGCGTTAGGAACACAGACTCTAAAATGGAGTGACTACCTTTTTTTCTCTGCAAAGGTCCAGGTGGTTTGTGGGATTTGCACTCTCTGTTGTGACTACTCAGCTCTGCTTTTGGAGCATGAAAGCTCTCACAAATGAGTGGGTGTAACTGTGTTTCAATAAAACTTTATTGACTTGACTGTGTGTGTAAGAGAATCTGAACATATGTATGGGGTTATGTGTGTGTAGGCCATAGGTAGACCTCAGAAGTCGTTCCTCGTGAATCATTTATCTTTTTGAGACCTTTCTCTTTCATTAGCTTGGAGACTGAGGGACAGGCTAGCCTATCTGGCCAGAAAGCCTCAGGAATCCACTTATTTCTACCTCTCCAGAGCCAGGATTATAAGCAGATGCCATCATGTTTGGTCTCTTACAAGGGTTTTGGGGCATTGAACTTCGGTCCTCATGGTTCCATGGCAGTCACTTTGCCAACTGAACAATTTCCCCAGCCCTCAACGAAACCTGTTTATAAGGACAGGAGATAGCCTGGATAGGCCCATGAACCATATCTTATCAACCTTTGTTCTACGTTCCAGAGAATATGCCATTGGCTGTATAACTGACTTCAGAGGAAGAATATTGAGGACATTCAGATAACTCTGTTGAAGTGTTTGTTATATTTTTTCATAGCCAGAATTCTACTGTATGTTTGTATAGTTTGTTGTCAGAAATAAAGAATGCTGTTTCCTTTGGGGGGGGGCGGGGAGGCTCAATCCACATAGCATTATTTAATTACCTTTACCTCCTTCTTTCACCAAATCATTTGAAGTAGCTTATGACAAAGGTATATGTAGGACTGGGTATAACTTGGCAGTAGAACGTACGTTTAACTTGCATGAAGCTCTAGTGCCCCCCAAAATAAAAGAAGAAGAAAATTAAAGGGCATGTACGATTTTGGGCTATCCAATCTTGCCATTTCTTCCTCACCTGCTAGCTCAAGCTGGTAACAGGCCATTTCTGAGACTGTTCAGCCTTGGGGCACTTCCTAAGTTGATTTTTGGCATCTTATCTTGACAAGCATAATTTCCTTTTGGGAAAAAAAATGCCCTAGTGTGTTATATCAAGTCTCCTACTGAAGGAAGTGTTAGTATTCGTCATTTTTCTTTTGACTGAAGTAGAGCCAAGAACCATTCCACCAGCTAAGTGGGTGTAAAGGAAGGAAAGGGAAAATCATAAACTAATGAAAAGTCTGGTGGACGAGTGTTCAGATATACTCTGAGGCTCATAGGACTAGCATTTCATTAGCCAAGGGAACTGTTTCCTGTTTCCTCAAAGACACACCTCTGCTCTGCTGGCAAAGAGAAAAGGGGGTTATATCACATCAGGGAGGTAGTTGCAAGCGCTGCTTGTGAGGACGGAAGAAGTGGGACTTTTGCAGGAAAAGATGGCCATCAGTGGGCGTCAGAATGTGATCCAACAAAGCCAATTGATCGGAAACACTTCCCCATGGAATTGTTCCTCTCAAGATAGTTTTCCTACAGACCTGTTCCCTACTTCACAACTATGACTGTGTATAAGTGGCTTTCATATGCGACCTTAATTATGATCAGCTTGAAGTCAGATCCCTGGCAATCAGGAGGTATATGGTGGACATACTCAAGAAGACTTGAGTAGGTAGCAAATGCTTCCCTAGGTCTCATGGATACTTGTCAAGGATTCATTCCAACAGAAGCAGCCCAGTTACATGTTAGTCAGATATCACAGGCATCATGGACCACTTGCATGACAGAAGTGTAAGTGTAGAGGTTGATTCCATGCTGAACAAGCGATAAATACAATGATATCTGCAAAAAGAAGACAAAGCATTCTGTGTCTAGTCTGAAAACACTTAATCAGTTCTGTACATTTAGAATACGACTCGCCTAAATGTAGGAGAAAACATCTCCAGAGTGCCCTTTTCAAGCTGGGATCCTTGTTCACACCTGGTGCAGTGGAAAACGGGAAGGAACAGTATTGTGACAGGGTACAGGCTGACCATATAAAGGCCCTAAGTATATATATAATTTGATCCTGAAACTAGACATTCACATTTATTTTTTAAAATAATACAAACTTTCAGGCTTATAGAAATGTTTGTGTAGAGATTGCCATTGAATCAAAACTTGGTGTGTAGTCTGTATACACATTCAGTCTCAGCACTGAGGGGGCTAGAGCAGTGGGAGAGCAAGTTCTAGGCTAGCCTTGGGTATGTAGTCATGCGCTGCCTCAAAATAAATAAATTAACAGAAAGAAATGATTTGCAGAAACATTTGAATTCCTAAAGCTTTGGAGTTGCAGAGCTCCTCACAAGTGAATGGGAGTCTTTATACACAAGCACGGAAGCTTGACAAGGATGAAATATGATATGAAAAGCAAATGTCACAACAATCTAGGACAGCCTCCTACCTTCGCTAGTAATAACTCTATATGTGTATTGTGTTGTATGTACACATGTGTGCACAAAACTGACATGGAACCATATAGGCATACAGTGACTAACAAAGAAGCTTCTTCACATGAGGAGTGTGATGGGAGAAACCCTTGTCACAGAGCCTGGGGGGCAGGCTCGAGGTCTTGAGTAAAGTCTGGGTTTAGCTTGAGAAGAGCCCCTCGTTCTAAGTAAAGGGCCTGTCTTTTCCTAGCTGCCTGTGAGGCCTGTGACCCTTCATGCTTCTCTGCCTTCAGTACATCACTGATTCATTGCGTCATTGTTGTTGTGTATGTACTGTGTACAGACTACACCATGCTGGTCCCTGGGGCTGTAGGACAGTTTCATAATGAAGGTCCGCCAACAACTGCAGGCTCAAGCAGGCAGACTCCAGATGTGCCAGCCAGCCTGGTGCAGCAGCATTGCCACTCAGTAGATTCTAGTACTTGAGGGTCAGTTGGGAACTTAAAAACAGAGCTGAAAAGACCCCAAATGGGTGCTGAGGTTTCTTTCTCCTCACTCTGGTTTCTAGGTGTGTACTTGGAAATAGTTTGTGATGATAATTAGCTTCACTTGCAAAACCTTCTAGGACAGTGGGTCTCGACCTATGTGTTGTGACCCCTTTGGCAAAACTCTTCTACCTCCAAAATTATTTATATTACTATTCATAGCAGCAGCAAAATTATAGTTATGAAGTAGCAACAAAAATACCTTAATGGTTGGGGGTCACCACAGTGTGAGAAACTTTATTAAAGGTCACAACATTAGGAAGGTTGAGACCACTGTTCTAGGAAGAGGCAGCCTGCCTGCTACATTACAGTTGACATATATAAGTGTCAGTTGACTGGTATCCATTTGCACAGAGTAATAGTCTATTTATAGATAAAAATGCACACATACATACATATATTTTTTTGCTACCTGTCAACTCAAGTATTTGTGGTTTTTCTTCCACAGAAAAAGCAAAGGACAAAAGATCTGTCTCGGGTGTTTCACTCCTACAATCCATACGATCACAAGGTAAGAGAAGCGTGTGATTAGTGTGTTTATGATTAGAGCGTCTGCCGACAATCCCTCTTCCAGGAAATGGAGGGGAGGGCATGGCTGTGATGCCTCCCAGACCTGGATCTTTCTAAATGGATAGCACAGTTTTCACTGGTTTGTGATGATTTTGAAATGCATGACCAGATACATTTATATTCCTATTTTAAAGTGACTTCTAAATTAAACAAAATTTCTATTTCTAAACTGAATTGCTTACATTTTTTTCAAATTAGAATGTAGTTACAGGGTTCTAGAGCTGTTGCTCTGTGGAAGAGCCCTTACCCAGCATGCAAGAAGCCCTGGGCTCACTTCCCAGCACTACCCCAAACCAAGTCCAGCCATCACTCTTGGTGAAGTGTCAGATCCTGCAGAGACAGTTCAAGTGTTCTCTTGAGATGGAAGTAGTGGTTACTGTTTTAGTTTATTGATGTTCTCTTTTGAAATACTATGGTGAGTGAGGCAGGTTTTGGAATGGCTAGAGACAGTTGAAACATTTACTTTCAAGTCTTGATTCTTCATTGTTCTGATATGTACCATGTATCAAATAATGTGTACAAGCAGCAGCACAGAGCCTGATATCTGGAATGCCCTTTTCAAGACTAGCAAGGCAGAAGCCCAAGATGCAAGGGCTCCTGTGCTTCTGCTGCTGGGGAAAGACCCAGAGCCATTCCTGTTGAGTTTGTGCCCAAACTTTTCACCCAAACTTCAAGGTGTATTTTCACCTTGAAGCGTTTCAACCACATCTTTTTAAAAGGTAAGGTCTCCTGTAAAAAGTTCAAACATCAAGGGTTGGGGAGATGCCTTGGTGGTGAAGAGCATTGGTCACTCTTCTAGAGGACTCTGGTTCAATTCCCAGTACCTACACAGTGGCTCACAACTATCTGTATCACCTACCCCAAGTCATTAAGAGCCCGCATCTGGCCTCCGCAGGCACTGCACACAAGAGGTGCACAAACATACATGCAGTCAGAATACTCATACACATAAAATAAAAAATATATTTTTAAGTTCAAAAATCATGTGTTTGGGGCCAATATTAGAACTCCTTGTGTTCCATATCTCCATAGAGCAACACATCACAGGTTTTCTGAGGCTTGTATGAAAAATCTGTAGATGAAATGTTCCAATAAATCTGTTAATTTGAGGTGATTTCAAAAGGAAACAAACAAATCACGCAGTTTAAATGCTACTATAAGTCTGAGTCTTTATCTATGAACTTGTAGGCAGACGCGGTGTGAAGTTATTCATCCTGCCAAAATAACTAATGTAAAAAAACCTCATTGCTCGGTTGAGAATAGAGAGATGTCTAGACTCAAGAGACAAAATGAGTGCGCCAGCAGTTGATGGAACCTCAAAGAACTCAGAATTTCTAGTGTAACAAGGGGCTAATTGACTTTAGCACCAGTAGATTCTAAGGGAAGTGTTTATGCTTTGTGGAGATGTGTGACCCCCAAAACTGTTATTTCAGAGGAATGTTTTCCGGCCTCAGTCAGTTACTTTGCAGAAAGGAGGGGTTGGTTTAAAAGAGCCTAGGAGCCAGTAACATCTGGAAGTGCGGTGGGAAGGTGATATAATAGTTGTGTGACAGCGGTGGCCCAAAACCCCCAGACTGCTGTGGGGAGTGTTGCCCCCTCCACGAGGCTGTTTAACTGGCATAAGTGCACTAATGACTGAAGTTAGCATTTAAGAACAACAAATTTTCAAAAGCCCTGCAAATCAAAGGTTTCCCTTGAGTTGTCTGAATTTTTGCAACTTCTATCATTTTTAAAATTCACAGATGAGGGAAATTCCTTTATTCTTTTATTAAAACTCTTAATGGAGCCTAGCCATCTGTAGCTCCTACTGACTTCCTCTTCATATCCTTTGTGGCGTTGTATCAAAGTCACCTCAGATGATTTTGGCTTCATCTTGTGAGGACTTCATTCCCCTACAAATTAGTCATTGGCAATGAAGAATCAACTAGAAATGCTAGAAGAAATTCCTTTTGATCTCTGTTCTCAGATTAGCAATAAATTATTATAAGGAGCTAGCCTGCTAGAGGAATGATTTTAAGCCCATAAAAGTTGGTCTGTTGGCATTCTCTTTTATTGCATATGTTTGTAGAGAAGAGCAGGGGTGTTGGAGGCAGGTCCAGCCCCCTAGTAACCTCCTCTAAGACTCTAAGGTCTGTGCTGGCAAATTTTTTTTCTTTTTTTTTTTCTTTTTTGGCTAGGATTAAAGCCATGTCTTTGATGGCTGGATCCAGCCCATTCCTTAGCTTTTTTTTTAAATTTATTTATTTATTTATTAAAGATTTCTGTCTCTTCCCCACCACCGCCTCCCCTTTCCCTCCCCCTCCCCCAACCAAGTCCCCCTCCCTCGTCAGCCCAAAAAGCAATCAGGGTTCTCTGCCCTGTGGGAAGTCCAAGGACTACCCACCTCCATCCAGGTCTAGTAAGGTGAGCATCCACGAAACTGCCTAGGCTCCCACGAAACCAATAGGTCCAGTAGAATCAAAAACCCATTGCCATTGTTCTTGAGGTCTCAGTAGTCCTCCTTGTCCGCTATGTTCAGCGAGACCGGTTTTGACCCAGGCTTTTTCAGACCCAGGCCAGCTGGCCTTGGTGAGTTCCTGATAGAACATCCCCATTGTCTCAGTGTATGGGTGCACCCCTCGCGGTCCTGAGTTCCTTGCTTGTGCTCTCTCTCCTTCTGCTCCTGATTTGGACCTTGAGATTTCAGTCCGGTGCTCCAATGTGGGTCTCTGTCTCTGTCTCCTTTCATCGCCTGATGAAGTTTAATATTCAGGAGGATGCCTATATGATTTTCTTTGGGTTCTCCTTCTTATTTAGCTTCTCTAAGAACCCGAATTATAGGTTCAATGTCCTTTATTTATGGCTAGAAACCAAATATGAGTGAGAACATCCCATGTTCCTCTTTTTGGGTCTGGCTTACCTCACTCAGGATGGTGTTTTCTATTTCCATCCATTTGCCTGCAAACTTCAAGAAGTCCTTGTTTTTTACTGCTGAGTAGTACTCTAATATGTATATATTCCATACTTTCTTCATCCATTCTTCAATTGAAGGGCATCTAGGTTGTTTCCAGGTTCTGGCTATTACAAACAATGCTGCTATAAACATAGTAGAGCATATACTTTTGTTGTGTGATAAGGCCTCTCTTGGGTATATTCCCAAGAGTGGTATTGCTGGGTCCATGGGTAGGTTGATCCCAAATTTTTTGAGAAACCTCCACACTGCTTTCCAGAGTGGTTGCACAAGTTTACATTCCCACCAGCAATGAATGAGTGTACCCCTTTCTTCACAACGCGATCATTGGTGTTTTTGATTTTTGCCATTCTGACAGGTGTAAGATGGTATCTTAAAGTTGTCTTGATTTGCATTTCCCTGATCGCTAAGGAAGTTGAGCATGACCTTAGGTGTCTTTTGGCCATTTGAACTTCTTCTGTTGAGAGATCTCTGTTCAACTCAGTGCCCCATTTTATAATTGGGTTGATTAGCCTTTTACGGTCTAGTTTCTTGAGTTCTTTATATATTTTGGAGATCAGACCTTTGTCAGTTGCGGGGTTGGTGAAGATCTTCTCCCAGTCAGTGGGTTGCCTTTTTGTCTTAGTGGCAGTGTCCTTTGCTTTGCAGAAGCTTCTCAGTTTCAGTAGGTCCCATTTATTCAATGTTGCCCTTAATGTCTGTGCTGCTGGGGTTATACATAGGAAGCGATCGCCTGTGCCCATCTGTTGTAGGGTACTTCCCACTTTCTCTTCAATCAGGTTCAGTGTGTTTGGACTGATATTGAGGTCTTTCACCCACTTGGACTTGAGTTTTGTGCATGGTGATAGATATGGGTCTATTTTCATTCTTCTACAGATTGACATCCAGTTTTGTGTGCTGGCAAATTTTAATGACACTATTTTTCCTTCATCATTGATTGTAATGTACACAAAGGCTAAAAACATAAGAAGACATGATCATGTACTGTCTTCTCAATCTGAGAGTGTGTTTCTCCTCCTACCATAAATAGATAATAGGGACTTGTGTTTCACACTACTTTGTCATTTTAATTACCCAATTACAGCCAGACAAATTAGTTTTCTAGGTAGATAGCTTTGAGTGTAAAATGTTTTACAAGATATGATTAAAGTTGATTCAAATATCTCATGCTCAATGAGATTTCTGGAGTGATCTTTAGAAAAATATACATGTGTATTGTAAATGAAACCTTACACAGAATAAAACATAGCTTGTCTAGAAACTGCTTTTAAAAACTTCCAAGGAAAGGATACGGTGCATGAAGTCAGCTGGACCATGTGTTGACAATTATGGAACCTGAGTGACGGCTTTGTGGGGGTTTGTTCTTCTGTGTATTTTTCTATATGATTGAAACTTTCCAGAATCCTCGAGATGGGAGACCAAAATAAACGTCGGCCAGGTCGTGAGAGTGAATGTGCTCATATTCTTCTCTCTGGCCAGGCTTTCACTGTTCACTTTTCCCTTGATGTCCTTATGTGCCAAAGAAGAAAAACTCAGCGTTTCAGTGGGTTCATTATGCTGAGTGAGCTCAGAAGTGAAGCTACCGGGCCTCAGCTGGCGTCATTTCCTGGGATTTCATCCCAAATTACAGAGGGTCAGGGAAATGATAGCCTTGCCTACTGGTAAGTGCTAAAACAGTTGTCATTACAAAGAGTAGTTAGTGTTCCAGCCTCGTCTCTGTGAGTCAGGTGTGTTTGCTCTTCTGTCACTCTCCCCCCTCCCCCACAGCCAGGCTGCTCCTGCCTCAGCCCAGACGTAGGAAAGTCACCAGGTTAAACAAACATGCTGTTTCAGTGAGGCTGAGCTCGTTTCTTAATAACACCCTAAAGCTTTGGTGTAGGTGGTAAATGGTCTCTCAGTTTTCTCTTAAATGCTATTGCAAAAGCAAACAAAGCTGAACAGCAATGTGTGCACCTAAATAGATGTTGGGAAACATTTCTCAGCCTGAAACT